CCTCCTAACCTGGGCCTCCTCTCACCTGCCCTCCTCACCTGGGCCTCCTCTCACCTGTCCTCCTAACCTGGGCCTCCTCTCACCTGCCCTCCTCACCTGGGCCTCCTCTCACCTGGGCCTCCTCTCACCTGTCCCTCTTCACTGCCCTCCTCATCTGGGCCTCCTCTCACCTGGGCCTCCTCTCACCTGCTCTCCTCACCTGGGCCTCCTCTTACCTGAGCTTTCTCTCACCTGCCTTCCTCACCTGTGCCTCCTCTCACCTGCCCTCCTCACCTGGGCCTCCTCTCACCTGTCCTCCTAACCTGGGCCTCCTCTCACCTGGGTCTCCTCTCACCTGCCCTCCTAACCTAGGCCTCCTATCACCTGGGCCTCCTCTCTCCTGTCCTCCTCACCTGGGCCTCCTCTCACCTGCCCTCCTCACCTGGGCCTCCTCTCACCTGCTCTCCTCACCTGCGCTCTTCACCTGGGCCTCCTCACCTGGGCCTCCTCTCACCTGCACCTCTCTCTGTACCCCACAGGAATGCTGACTCCTCCCTTCATCCCCGACTCCAGAACTGTCTATGCCAAGAGCATCCAGGACGTGGGAGCCTTTTCCACCGTCAAGGGTGTGGCCTTTGACAACGCAGACTCGGAATTCTTCCAGGAGTTCGCTTCGGGCAACTGTCCGGTTCCCTGGCAGGAGGAGATGATCGAGACGGGCGTCTTCGCGGAGCTGAACGTGTGGCGCCCTGACGGGCAGATGCCGGACGACATGAAGGGAGTCTCCGTGGGGGAGGCGGCTCCCGTGTCCAAGTCAGGACTGTGTCTGGTCTCCTAGCCACGTTCCGGAAGGAGCAGCTCTGGGTGCACATGCAGACCTCTGGGTCAGCCCGTGGCCCCCAACGGCGGGCACCAGCTCCCTTCCCCCTCCAGACCCCTCAAGGACGAGAAGCCTGCCCAGCCCAGGAGCCCCGGGCCACCAATGGGGTCGTCCACCTTCTCGTCTTATTTCACTCAAAAGAGGCAGGAAAACATTCCAGGTGCCATAAGGCAGCGACAGACGGGCCCAAGGCCATGCAGAGATGCACGAGGGGACCGCCCTTCCGGGCAGCGCTGGCCAAGGTGCAGTCAGAAGCCGGGGGCAGCGTGGGTCTCCTGGGCCGTTGCTAACACCCCAGCCCAGGTCCCTCAGGAGGAGGCCAGCTCTCAGTGAGATGAGGGCTGGCAGACCATAGCTGCAAGCTGCAAGAGGCTGGACTCTGGGATGGTCCCGGACTCCGGACTGGCCCTGCTCCCAGCCACCGCACTCCAGGGACTCGCACTCGGGGACACTAAGTCTGTGGGAGTGGAAATGGTGGGACTTCCCTGGGCTTAGCTGGGAATCACTGCCTCCATGAAGTGGCAGGGAAGCTGCCTCAGGGGCCAGCACCACTGGTGGTGGACACTGTGTCCTATTTCATGTCCTCTGTCACCACCTGGGGTGGACATCTGTGTTCTCATTAACACCACCTGTGGTATAGTTGTGTAGATACCTCCTCCGTCCACAGCATGTGTGGTGGACGCCCATCTCCTCTATCACCACCTGTGGTGGACGCCATCTCCTTAGTTCATAGCATCTGTGGTGGACGCCACCTCCGTGGCCCACAGAACCTGTGGTGGACACCATCTCTCAGTCCACAGCACCTGTGGTGGACACCCATCTCCTCTGTCACCACCTGTGGTGGATGCTGTCTCCTTGTGTTGAGAGCCACAGCCAAAGGGGCCCCAGCAAACTTCCAGCTGCCGGCTGATGATTGGCTCACAGTGGCCCCAGCAACATCTAACTGATTGGCTCCTCTGCGGTGATGCTCATTGGGCTGTTTTCCTGCCCTTCAGACTGCCGGCTGATGATTGGCTCACAGCGGCCCCAGCAACATCTAGCTGATTGGCTCCTCTGCGGTGATGCTCATTGGGCTGTTTCCCTGCTTTTCAGACCACGGAGCTGCTCATTGGGGGACTTCTTTGGCTCCGCCCACGTGACCCAGCCAATCGGCTTCAAGAGCAGGAGGATTGTGGGAGGTGGAGAGGCTGGGGTGGGTGAGAGGCTTGTGGAAGCCGGTGGTGGCAGTTGGGCTCTGAGGGTTTTCCCTGGAGCTGTT